TCGTGGTCGTGGTAATGGTAATGGTAGTGGTAGTGGCAGCAGCAGCAGCAGCAGTAGGAGTAGGAGTAGGAGTAGGGGTAGTAGTAGTAGTAGTAGTAGTAGTAGTAGTAGAAGTAGTAGCAGTGGTAGTGGTAGTGGTAGCAGCAGCAACAGCATAGTAATTGTCACAAGTACTGTAGATTTAAGATGATCACCAGACCACATAATATGTAAGTTCCCCGTTGTGGTTCGTGACCATGCTACTATAGGCTGTTGCATTTCCATCTGTTTTCGGGCTTGGAGCGATCCTGATATTCCGACCCCGGTGCTTGTTTCGCCAGCTTTGTGAATTGCATGCTCTCGGTCCTAGGTGGAGATGAGAGTAGCTCCAAGCGCAGGCACAAGGAGTGAGCAGCCAGGCGCGTGGCCTGGACTCCCAGATTCTCGACGGTCCTGACTCAAGCTCGATGTTATTTGTTGCAAGAATGTGCGACGATTGACATGTTCTGTAGGACCTCGCCCCCTTTGAAAAGCTGGGGCCGAGATGTACATAGACTTGGGACCAGGATGGACCAGGTGTTGCTTTGCTTTGAAAAGGCAGTTGCGCGGTGGCCCCTGGTCATGGCCCCGCCACCGTCCTCCCCATCCTCTGACACTTTCCCAGGTCCAGAAAGATGGAGGCGGAATCCAAGGGAGGCGGCTGGGAGTTGCCAAAACTGCTCTTGTGCCCTCGATGCTTTCCCACACCGTTTCGCGACGCGTTCCGGGACCGAGTTGTGAGTGCAAGAGTTGCAGCGAAAGGCGGCGAGATGGCGGCTGACATGCCGTCCAAGACCCTCGCCCTGCAATCTAAGCAGTTGCAGTCTTGCCAAGTTTGTGAGTGCTGTACACGAACTTAAAGCAATTTACATTCCATGTCTCCGAAGCGCGAATCCCTCTGCACAGGGTCGACCTGTGAGGCCCTCAGCATTTTTTGCAGTTCGGCGGCGATCTTTAAACCCAAGCGGTCCAGAAGGAGTCCAGTCAGTGCTAACTTGGAGCAGAGGTTGCCCAGTGAGTCTCGTGGCTTGTTCTCGTGCCGCAAGAATCTGAGTGATTTGGCTGTGCCCAGTTGCCTGGTACTCGGTGGCTACAACTCGTCGAACACAGCCGCTGCCCTACTGTGCTCTCTTCTAGAATTCCAGCCAGAATATGTCATTCGTTCACCTTTCCGCAAAATCCGAAACACAGCAACGCATCCCAGCTGCCAAGACCCACCTCCTCGAAATTGCGGAGGACGAGGGCGTGCCTGCGTGCGACTCCCAAATCCAGTCCTCTGTTAAGTTCTTAGCACGGCCGCAAGCATAAGCACACCAACAGTACCAGCAGCAGGAACAACAAGAACAACAACTCGAGATAGACTCGCAACTTGTCAACCAAACAATCATGACAAAGTAATGGCAACTGCACGCGCACTGAGGTCTATGATGATTATGAAGACAAGAACCCAGGGGCGAGGACTATAATGCCGACAACAACAGCAACAAGCACAACACCCACCGAGGAACTAGTAAAGTATGCGAAATGTGTAGTAGGTGCAATAGCAGCATCGCATCAGCAATAACAATTATGATCAAGCTGCTGCAGTACTGGCTCATGGCAAGCTGCGGTTGTTTCGGCGATGCGAAATGCTTGTAGTAGTTATTAGGCACAAATGCACTAGTAGCGAGAGGAGCAACACCAGTCATCATCTCACTAGTAGTGGCGGCAGTAGCAGTGGTCGCCGTTGACGTAATCATGAATGTAATCGTCAGAATCGTAGTCTTTTCGGCAGCTTGGCGACCGTCCCCTTGCATTTTGCCGGGTCCAACGTCGCATGCCTGTTTCGCTTTAGTGCAAGGTATCATATCGACTGCGCGGAGCGCATTGGAGTTGCTGGTGGAGAGGCCACCAACAAAATCCAGGCATCCGGTGCGTTGGGTGTTGGAGAGTCTGGTCAGCAAAGATGTGCGGAGACTTGCGCACAAGACTTGTGTTCGAGCTTGACATCACTTCATCGTGCATGTCCCTGTGCAGCACAAGCCCCTGACCACGCTGCCTGCGCAAGCCATGCTGGACGAGGGCCTTGAGGCTCCTGTTAGAGTCTCGCAGCAATTCGCAAGATCTCGTAAGGCCTTGTCCGAACAGATCAGGTACGTCCAGAGAGAGAAGCGCTTGAAAGTGCAATGCAGCTGTCCAACGCAGATCACGGAGAATTTCCTCCCAGATGGTCCCGTCACCATTGGCATTACCTCCGGCGCGCCACTGCCCCAGGTCAGAACACATATGTTGCAAAAGTCCAAATCGCTGGAGAGAATCTTGACTCGGCAGCCTTTTCTACACGGCAGCTCGTGTAATGCTCCTTCCACGAGATTCTGAAGCACACACACTCAAACAGCAGTCTGCCCTGTTCACGTTGCAAGATCGTACGATCACATGCCATCGGACGCACAGAAGCCCAAGCCCCCCCCACCCTAAACCCTAAACCCTAAACCCTAAACCCTAAACCCTAAACCGCTTTTACACCCATGGCGGAAACAGAGGCCGCGGCCCAGGGTGGCCTGGCTCTGAAGGTGCTTTTGGGAGCACTTTCTACTCCTTAATTGGGGTTATAAGTAAGGTTATAAGTCCCTTAATTGGGGTTATAAGATGTTATAAGTAGAGTTACCCTAATTATAATTATAACCCTACTTACTAAGTCCCATGATCCTTTAAGTAGAGTCCGTTCGGTGACTTAGTGTGCGTGCTTTTCTTTGCGAGTGCTCATGCCGACGGCGAGTCCTTGCCCATGCCGTTGCTGTTTGCTGGGTTAACAGGACATGCCAGGACTTTCCAGCCAAGGGCTGCTTGTAGCAGAAGTCTCCGGGCCCAGTGCTTTTCTCCTTTTCCCCCCCTTTTCCCTTGAGGTGGGCGAGGCCACGAGCACCGAAGAGCTCGTAAGCTGTTCCCGGGTGGCACAGAGAAAGGTCTTTGGATGGCCTTCGCCTTCGCCTTGCTTCCGCGCGAGACATCGCGAGAGTAAGAGCCGAGGCAAGATCGGTGGCTGCTGCGGCAAGGACACCCCCGGCTTGAGCCGCGAGGAGGTCTTGGCGAGGATCCCCTCTTTGCCTCTCTGGGTCTTGTCTCCAGACGGCGCTTCCATCAGCCGCTGCTTCGTGGCCAAGAACTGGGCGGCAGCCATGAGCTTCCTCAACGAGGCGCTTCCGCCTTGGCCTTGGAAGGGGAGACGCCAAAGCACTGCTACCGTCCCGTCGTAATGCTAATGTCCGCTAGGCACAGGATCTCAGTCGCTGCTGCGGTGCCACTTTGAAACAGGTCAGCGTCCTGGCCGAGCAGGAGGGGCACCACCCGGATGTGCACATCACTTCCTACCGAAACGTCCGGGTGGATTTGAGCACGCATGCGATCGGAGGGCTCTCGCTGCCCGACTTCGTCTTGGCAGCCAAGATGGATCAGATCAAGGTCGAGTACTCGCCGAAGTGGCTCAAGGAGCACCCCGTGGCCTAGAGACTCTGGGCTAGGTGGCCGTAGAGAGGGACCTTTCTGGGAGCCGGCAGACGACGAGCAGCTGTCGAGCACCGGAAGAGCCGTGCGCTCCCCAACTCGAGAGGAACCGTCGGCGACAAGAGACAGGAGCGGCCCGGGAGGGGTAATCCGGATGCGTGTGAGCTGGCGAAGACACGCATCTCAAAAAGGATCCCCCCTTGCGAGTGGCACGTCGCTCGCGTTTGCGGTTGATTCTCTTCCGAATGAGTGTCCAGTCGTCAAGGTCCACGCCGGACAACATTTTTGGCGATGTTCTGAAGTCATTGGCTCGGATGGCTCGGGTTGGCTGTTAAAAAGATGGGGCGCTTGAAGGCTCAATCGCGCTCTCTTCCCTGTTCTGACAAGGCGAGTCCTGGCCATCCGTGGCCTCGATGCCTGAAGCAGAGGGCTCTCCGTGCATGCGCGCCGGGGTGCCTGGAAGGAAGGCCGTGCGACTGCAAAAGGGCAGACCATACGTGGCTGAGGCCCAGCGCGCTGGAAGTGAGCGCCAGAGCTGCAAGAGAGTTGGATAGCTGTAGATGCTAATAGATGCTCATGTGGGTTTAGGCAGGGAGAGTTGGCGAGATAGGTCTGTGGAATGGTGCGTGGTTGCATGTTGGGGCCAATTCCGGATTGGTGAGACTTCGAGTTACGAGTATTCCAGGAGACGGTAAAGCGAAGCTTGCCCTAAGCGGCTTTCGGCGTGGGCTGGCCGAGCGATGCTCGCTGTGCTCGCCACTGCGCAGAAGGCGTTTTTCCCCACAAATCCGCTGCCTTGGGGGCTGAAGATCAGACTCAGGGTTGCCCGGTCTTTCAAGCGGATTTGCAACCGGCGACCGCAAGAGCCGCGCCGGCGAAGGCTGTAGAGAGACAGAGGGCGAAAGCGGACCTGGTAGGTTGGCTCAGGCTGATGCCTGCCAGCAGCCAACCTCCTGGGTTTGCGAACTGGTCCTTTGTGGTTAAGGCTTCATACCCCGCGTTCAACTGCATCTCGGGCACAGGTGGAAACGGATCAGGATGAGCGATTCAGCCTGAGCTCAACTGCCACGGAGCATCACGGAGCCTAACTGCAAAGCCCACCACCCCGCCGCCTGCAAGCAGCAGCTGTTTCTTTATGAGGGGTCTCCCATGGACCTGCCGCTGCCTGGCCCAATGCAGGCACTCGTTGGGAAGCCTTGGGTTATCTCTAGGTCTTACAAGTAGCACTTCAGGAAGGAGAGGCAAATGCGTGTGAGCACCACCACGAGCTGCAGGGCTTGGAGTTTCCTGTGTCCGAGTGGGCTCTTGCTGTGCCAGGGCGTCTTTGACGTGCCACCGATGCCGATGCCACATTCGATACAGCCTTCCCCGGTGTCCCGACACCGACAGGCCAGGGAGCTCTCGGGTACGGGGGACTTAGAGCTGGTCGTGGGGGACAGCAGGGCTGAGAGCCGCCAAACAGTACTAAAAAAGTGGGGGGGTTGCAAACGGCGGCTCGTGAAAAATGCAAGTTACTCAACTCGCTGCTGGCGTCTTGCAGGTCAGCTCTGCACCACAGACAGCGACCCTGACTCCCTCTGCGCCATGTGTCGGCACCTTGGGAAACTTGTCCCTTCCGCAGCTCACAGAGCACCTTTGCTGTGCTGAGATGTCGACTTCCCAGCTGCTGGACCCTGCGGCGTCAGAACCTCTGTGCCCTCTGTGCTCTGACCGGAGAGCGCCGAGTCTCCGTGATCGCAGCCCCCAGCACCACGTAAAACGACCCAGAGCTTACAAGAGGGTACGATTCATGTGCTCAGGGAAGTGAGACCGAGGTTAACCGGTGCTCTGAACGACGAGAGCTGGGCGAGGATGTCGCGTCCCTGGAGATGTGAACGGCCTCTGTCTGGCAACCTGATAAATCCTTGAAAACTAATTGAGCTCTGCCTCGTCGAGATTTGTCGGCGTTCTTCCTTGCAGGACGATTGTACATCCTCATCTCATACACAGCAGCAGTTCATGCATGAATCGTGAGACAGGAGTAGCGCAATTCACTGAAACGTTACCGTTTGAGGCATCGGCCCCAGCAGAGGCAGCTCCATACGCTTGGCAGAAGCGAGGCAACCGTTTTGCATCCGCTGAACGAATACTTGTCGCAGATCTTGCTTAGCAGCCTTTGTGCGTGACAGGACGCATTGCAGCGCGTGGACACCATCCCCAACGAAGTGGGGCAGTTTGACTTCGCCGGGGCTTTGTACTCAGCAGTGTCTCCGCGGAGTCCGATGCACCTCTGAAGTATCCGACCAATCGGAAAGTCCGATGGTGAGGTGGGTGAGTCGAAGTCGATGTGGACTACTTCGCTGTCTCAGAACGTCCCTGTGCCTCGGTTCGGGCAGCTTCTGCAGACGGATTGTTGATGCTGTAGGCGGCAGCATCATTTTTGCCTAAGCCGTATCCAAAACGATATACGAGAAGCCTAGCATCTAAACCCTACGTAGGCCCTACTCGTGCTGATGGTTCGCTCACGCTACCGACGACGATGGAGGACCACGGTGGCGACGATGACACTTACTAAACCTTCTGCTTAACAACTCTTACCGCTACTCGTACCACTAACCGCGACCACCACCACCAACACCACCACCGCCGCCGCCGCCCGCCCCCGCCACCGCCACCGCCACCGCCACCGCCACTAC